CCCCCCCCCCCCCCCCCGCTTGAATCTAGGAGGCGTGAAATGCCTTTCCAAGTTCACGCCCTGAGACAGCAGCAGAAGAACCCAGGAATCTGACTGCCATCCCCTGGCTCTAACCACTGGGTAATAGCGCCTCCATTCCATATGTGGAGACAAAGGAAAATGAGCTATCTGCCTTGTTTGGGGAGAGGGGAGATGTTAAATCTCATTTCCCCTGGCTGTGCTGCAAGGTGTTTTTATTTCCTGCATAAAATATGGGGAGAGAAACAAGTAAAAAGAGCCCACCAGAGGCAAAGGACACTAATGAATCGCAGCCCACAGCTGCGCTTCTCCTTTCCTCCGAAGCACGGAGTGCTGACACTTTAACGCTAGCCCTGGTGTCCTTCTCCCTTTCCTGCCAGTCATGATTCATTAGGAGTGATGCCTCATGAATAGATTACTGCTCCGTGTCTATGCTAATGCACTGTCAGTCCTCATTTCTCACCTTTGCTTTACAGCCTTAGTTTCCAAATTAACCCGGATTGTGGCACTTTATTATTCACTTATTTATTAACTATTTATGTACGTTTCTGTGTGAGAGCGGAGGTATATAGAGATGTATACGTATGTGTAGTGCAACATTAATCTGGTCACATCACCAGGACGTGGGGGACAGGTTTGTAATACAATTCCCGAGCTGTCACTCACCTTGATTTAATCAGAATAGGCCCAATTTCAGGGAGTGTGTCCTGATCAAAAGAGAACTGAGAAGATTGTATGACAAGCCATGCAAAGGGAAGAGCTTGGGTGCCAGCATTGAACAGTTTGTGCCAAGGAAGGTAGGGGGACATGGAAACCCTACTGGAAAAGACAGCAGGGTGAATGCATGAGACACACAGCATGTTGTTAGGCAGTGTGGGGAGGGGGGTTGTTGAGGGGGAGCCTTCTCAATCTTTTATTTACTGACTTTCTCAGCTAGGCAGGGTCGTCTTCATGAGTACTCTCAAACCTCAGTGACGTCTCTGGAGGTTGCTTGGGTTCACATTGGTAGCTACTTGCCATCCCTCCTAGTTTTAGTCAAGATAGCTGTCTTTTTTCACTTTCCCTCCACGAAAAGAAGACTGTCATCTAGTCAGATTTCAGTGACCCAGAGGGTCTTGTCCCTATTTCTGCCCATGCTAGTGTCACAGCTATAAGCATTCACATGCAGGCATTGAGGCCTTGATCCCTCTCCTGCGTTGGCCACCAGTCCTGCCTCAGGAGTGACTTTTGCCTGAAAAGGGAGGAAAATAATTTACCTAGTACCTCTGCGAAGGCAGCAGATGAATGTCCGATTGCTCTGCTTTGTCCTCTGCTGGCCAGTATAGAATCAGCATGGTCAAAGGGAGCCTTCATTGGCTAGCTGTGGAGTGTGATGATGGTTCGGGGCTATGGAACATGAGACGAGTTTAAAAAGGCTGGGCCTGTTCTGCTTAGAAAAGAGATGACTGAGGGGGGAGATGATAGAGGTCAATAAAATCAGGAGTGGTGCGGAGAAAGTGAATAGGGAAGTGTTATTTACCCCTTCTTGTAATATGAGAACTAAGGGTCACCCGATGAAATTAATAGGCAGTAGGTTTAAAACAAAAGGAAGCACTTCTTCACACAACACACAGCCTGTGGAACTCATTGCCGGGGATGTTGCGAAGGCCAAAAGTATGACTGGGTTCAGAAAAGAACTAGATAAGTTCAAGGAGGATAGGTCCGTCAATGGCTATTAGCCAAGATGGTCACTGACACAACCCATGCTCTGGGTGTCCCTAAAACTCCAGCTGCCAGAAGCTGGGACTGGATGATGGGATGGATCACTCGATAATCGCCCTGTTCTGTTCATTCCCTCTGAAGCATCTGAAACCGGCCACTGTCAGAAGACTGGATACTGGGCTAGATGGACCATTGATCTGACTCAGTCTGGCTGTCCTTACATGTCTCATAGGGTATGTCTACACTGCAATTGGAGGTGTGCTTGCAGCGAGCTTCAGTCTAGCTAGCTTGGGTACCAATAACAGTGAAGCCACAGCATCACGGGTTAGCCAGGGAGGATGTCTCCAGGCTCCCTGGTGGGCTTGTACTCAGGACGCTAGCCCGTGCTGCTGCAGCTTCATTGCTATTGGTACCCAGACTGGCTAGGTTAAAGCTAGCCTTGCTACGCCTTGGTGTGTTGCAGTCACACCTCCCTTTGCAGTGTAGACATACCCATAAAGGACAGTAGTGAGGATCCTTAGAGTATCTGGGGTGAGCTGTGGGGCTTGAGAGAATCCACTTCAGTTCCACCCTCTCCCAGATACCTCCTAAATCTTCTGTAGTCTTCATTCTGTATTGCAGATGAGTGTCAATAGCTCCAGAATCCTGTACACGGGATTCCTTCCCAGATGAGGCATGAGTCTCTAGGAATTGTGTGATGTCTGCATGCGCTCAGTTATTTCCACTTCTCTGCATTCTTTGAGTCTTGATGTCACTTGGATAATATCGTTCCCCCACTAACTGGGCCTGATTCTGATTTTGCTCGCACCAGGATCATACCACTGACTTCAGGGGGCAGAATGGGACCTATTGTCTTGGTTTCGTGCTTCTTCAGGTGTTTAAAATAGTTCCTGGGTTTCTGCCTGGTTGTTAATGGTGGAGTGAGGAGGAGAAAGATGGAAAGAGAATTATTCATGGCAGCTGGGACTGTGCTGGCTGCAGAGGACAGTGAGTGTTCTCTCCCTGCATCTTCAGCATTGCTTACCCCTCCCTCTGAGAACGAAGAAGGAACGGTTTATGATAAACAACACAACATTGTGTTCGCTAACGCACAGTCCTACTTGCTGGGGTGTAGTCCTGTGTAAACCCCCCATCTTACCGAGCTCACTAAAGGACGCTGTGTCCCGAGCGTTCTCTAATGCTACTCAGAACTACAAATCCGAGGTCAGGTTGTTTCTTCTGTTCTTGAGCTTGTTTTTGTTTTATTATTCAGTTTCCTGTGGTGCTGTTTCAAACGGGAAAGGGGCTTGGCTATTATCGTTGTGAACGCTTTCAATTAGGGCCGGGTGGATTCTTTCTCTGTCTCTGCTAGGGCCTGTTGACTTTGTGGCAGGACAGAAGAATTTGCACTTGCTGAGGGCGTCAGGCAGGCTGTGCTCCGGGGAAGAGCTGTCCGGTTTTATCTCGCTCCAAACCACCTTGGCTTACTGACTTGGGGTTAATTCTTCCAAACTGTTTTTTAAAATCCATTGTTGAAAGGGTCCATTTCAAGTTAATTTAGGCCCAAAATTTAGGATCTATGAAAGGAAAAGGGGGTTGGGGAGAGTATATATGAATATTATTGTTTGCACAGTAGCATCCGGAGGCCCTGACCAAGGTTGGGACTTGTTGTGTTAAGTACTGTATATACACATAGTATGAGACAGCCCCCATCCTGCAGATCTTAAATAATGCCTAGCTATTATGTAGCACTTTTTATCAGTAGACCATAATGCCCTTTACAACGGAGTAAGCATCATTATCCTCATTTATAGAGAGGTGAGGCAAAAATGAGGGGAAACTGAGGCACAGAGCAGGGAGGTGACTTGACCAAGGCCACACAGCGGGTCATTGGCAGAGCTGGGAATAGAACCGAGGTGTTCTGAGTCCCAGTCCAGTAGTCTGTCTGCTGCACCGTGCTCTCTCTCAAGAAATAGATTGATTGATTTGTGTCGTTACTTATATGAAAAGTCTTTTCTTTCGGCATTGCCCTGCGGTATTAGAAACCTACACGCAAAAACCAGACCGTGAAATTCGCTAGAGACAAAAGTGAAACTGACCAGGCTGATTTTACTTTCCAAATTGACATGAAAAAAGTAAATGCGAAAGAAATGGTAGAAAGGAAATTAGACCTTAAAAACTATTTGTCTTCACCTAGCGAAGCATGTTCTCAGCGACCAGCATATAGAAACTCGGTAAACCATGGTTTGTGTCTTGAGCATGTCTTCTGGGTGACTTCGAGTGAGACCTCTGCTACAGCAGTGGTTTGTGTTTGTGAAGGATCCTCTCCTGTACAGAGAACTGACTGAAAAGTCCTGCTTCCTTCTCAGTTCCACACCATGTAGCAAAATACAGGTGAGTCTCATCTTACGCGCATTTAACATGCGCGAATTCAGCTTTGCGTGGTCGGCAATAACAAAAAAAAAAAAAGAGAAAAATTACAATTTAAATACTGTACCTGTAGTGTGGGCGATTCTGCCCGCCATTACACTCA